GCTACCCTCCTAGCGGCGCTAAGACCACCTGCAACTCCCAGAATGGTATAAAAAGCCCCAAAAACTCGTTTTTTCTCTAACTTTTCACCACCAGCTCGAAGAGGGAGGAACCCTAGGTCCGAAAATCGCCTCCCCCCTTTATTTTCCTTCATATTCTTCTTCTCTTCTTCTTCTTTTCTCCATTTTTTTCTTCTTCTTTTCTTTCTTTCTCCTTCTCTTCTTCTTCTTCTTTTCTTCTCTTCTCCATCTTTCTTCCATTTTTCTTTCTTTTTTCTTTCTTTTTCATTTTAGGGATTAAGCTTGTATTTTGGATTCAATACTTGGATTGAGATTAATTGTAAGTTATTCTTCTTGTTTAATTCATGAAAATGGTTGAATTGGGAGAAACGATTGATTGTGTTGAATTTATTTTGCATAGCTAATTTCAGATGCTAGGGATAGGGGATGATTGTTCTTGTTTAATTCGTAATTGTTGGGCTTTAATTTGTTTTTATGCTAGGAATTGATGAATTCTTGCTTGATAATTTGATATAACCTAAGTGTGACACTTAGGTTATTTATTGATATAAGCGAAGAGTGACACTTCGATTTTGCGATTGAAACGATTGAATATTGATTTGTTGAGTGAGGGATTGTTGATTCCACATGATTAGTTGATTAAACACTTTCTAATTGAATTAGTAGTACCGAAAGGGGAGGAGTCGTAGAACTAGGCTCGTTTAGAGTAGACATGTTCGGAGACGTATTGTCTATAGGTTTCAGATTGAAGTACACGTTTGTCAATGTCCCTTCCCTTGTTACGAAGAGTTATTGGGATTGGATTATTGGTCGGTGTTGTATGCTCGAACTTGCTCGTCTATGTTCAATCCCTTGTTACAAAGAGTTATTGGTAGCGAACCGCTAGATGTTTAAGCGAGAGTATCAATCTTGAACCGAACGATTAATTGTCCCGCTTTATGTTTCAAACTTGAATTAATTATCCCCGTTTCCCTAGCTTCATTATCTTTGTGTCGTTTATATTTTTAGGTAGATTTATGTTTTATGTTATTTCTTAGTTAATAATCAAAAGCCAATCTTTTAATTAGAATGTTTAGGATTGATTTTGCTTTTTATGTGCTATCAACACCAATTCTAAATTCCGAACCGCCTTCCTCGAGAGAACGACCCACAGAACGAATCTTTTGATTCGGTACTCGGTAAAAAGAAAACAATTTGTGCTAGAACAAATTTACAAGTAATCTTAAAAAAAAAAAGATTCCTATTTGATAAAGGTTGGCTCAAGAAGGTTGGAGTAGAGGAGGTGGTTGAAACAGCCTGGTCATCTATTGTCAGTGGCACTCCATTCTAGAAGTTGAAAAAGAAGATAAAAGCAGCCATATTAGCTCTGCTTCACTGGAGTTCACAATTCAAAAGCTAAAATCTTAAACCACATTTCAGCTTTCCCAGGGACTAAAAGTCTTAAGACAAATGGGCAGAGAAGATCATTGGGAAGAATGGGAGGCAGTGAGAACAGAGCTTGACCAAGCCCACAAACAAGAGGAACTTTTCTGGCAGCAAAGATCTAAAGTTCAGTGGCTGAAAGAGGGTGATGGCAACACAAAGTTTTTTCATGCATACATCAGAACAGAAAAAAACTGAACTCTATCACCAGATTGCTTGCATGAGAGAACATCATATGCCAGTCTCAAGTGGACATTGACACATCTCTGCTTATTTCAGAACTCTGTTTACCACTGATGGATCCCTTGGGGAAAGACTCTTCTTCACCTCATTCAACCAACCATCACATCTGATATAAACACTGCTCTGCTCAAGGAGGTAGATGAGGAAGAGATAAAAGCAGCCTTATTCAGCCTTGCACCTGACAAATCACCTGGAGAGGATGATATGAGTGGTTTATTTTTCCAACATCATTGGCCTCTTATCAAACCTGATTTAATTGATGCCATTAAGTGTTCTTTACTCTGGTTTGTTTCTGCAATATTGGAACTATACTTTAATCACATTGGTTCCCAAATGCAAAAACCCTGAGATGCTAAGTCAATATAGACCAATCAGGCTATGTAGTGTGGTGTATAAGATTTTCTCTAAAATCTTGGCTCTCAGGCTGAAAGTGTGTTTAGAAGCCTGTATTAGTTTTTGTCAGTCAGCATTTCTTCAGGGCAAACAGCTTATTGATAATGTGGTTATTGCACATGAGGCTTGCCACTTTTTAAATAGGCACAGAACTAGTAAGAACTACTTCATGGCTTTGAAATTAGACCTGATGAAAGCCTTTGAACGTGTAGAATGGAGGTGTCTCAATGATATTATGCTCAGGATGGGATTTGAGGTCCAATTTGTTAAATTGATCATGGTGTGTATATCTACTATCTCTCTATCTTTCAATGTCAATGGCAAGTTGTGTGGAATGGTGCAGCCTACTAGGGGATTGAGGCAAAGGGATCCCCTGTCCCCTTATCTATTTTTAAATGTCTCTGAACTTCTAATTGCTTTGCTTGCTAATGCTGTGGATAGAGGTGTTCTGCATGGTCTGAGATTATCACAGAACGGACATTTTTTCTCTTATCCGCTTTTTGCAGATGATGCATTATTATTCTGTAGGGCTGGGGTTGACCAGGCTCACACACTTCTGAATTTACTGGAGTAGTACAGATTGTTTACAAGACATAGAGTTAACTTAGAGAAGTCCACTATTTTTTTCAGCAAGAACACTCCACTGCACCTTCAACTCAGTATTGGAGGGGCCCTGAATGGTATCAAATCTCACTATTCAACCAGGTATTTAGGGATTCCTTTGGGAATTGACAAGTCTAAAAAAGAAGCATTTGAATTTGTGCTTAATGTAGTCAGAGTTAAATTATCCAGTTGGAAGAATAAGTTTCTCTCTCCTGCTGGGAAGGAAGTTTTGATAAAAGCAGTCTTGAGTGATCTACCTATCTTTACTATGGCATGCTTCAAGCTCCCAATGTCTGTTGGTAAAGAAAATTTGGTGGAGTAGGGGGGAGAATCAGGAGAAAGGTACACACTGGAAATCATGAAAACATTTGTCTATTCCAAAGAGTGATGGTGGACTTAGCTTTCAGTACATCAGGCTATTTAATGAAGCTTTGATTAGAAAATAGCTCTAGAGAATCACTACACAGCCAAACCTTTGGGTCGGTCAAATTCTGAAAAGCAGGTACTTCCCTCACACTTCAATCTTTGAGGCTGTTAAATCACAAAGTAGCTCCTGGTTGTGGAACAGCTGGTTGGGAATCCTACCTCTTTTTGCTCAGGGATTTAGAATTGAGATCATAAATGGGGCAACTACAAGAATTCAGGATAGTAACTGGATACCTAAGCTTTCTAACTAGAAACCATCCCTGCTACAACTAGCTAGACGACATCTTATCTGGGTCAAGGACCTAATGTGCAGTGATGGCTGTAGCTGGAATGAATGGTTAGTGAAACAAGTCTTCAATCTAGAGGAGAGCAAAGCTATTCTGGAAATTTCAACTTTGAACCCAAACAGAAATGATAGAATGCTCTGGATTCTTGAGAACAAGGGAGTATTTTCTGTTTCTTCTTCCTATGCATTTCTCATCAACAGGAAAGTGCAAGGCTTGGATATCCCAGAGTGCAGCTCTAGCAAGAAGTCCACTATGGCTGCTAGATCAAGAAGCTGGCATCTGAAAATCAATAACAAATTGAAACACTTTCTACGGAAGTGTTACTCAGGTACATTACCTGTTAAGGTCCGTCTGGCCAATAAGGGTATGTAGCTTGATGTCATTTGTCAATCTTGTGGAGATACACCTGAGACAATTGAACATGTTTTCTTCTCTTTTGAGGGAGCTAAAAGGTTGTGGGATACTGGCCTTGTTCATTGGGATAATATTGACCAGGCAGGCACCAGATTTTCTTCTTGGTGGTGGCATATTTGTGCTATTGATCACACTGAGGTTCATGAGGAGAGGATCCAGCTAACCACATATATGCTTTGGTGGCTGTGGAAAGCGAGGAACTTATGGCTCTTCCAGGAGACAAAGCTGCCAGTGAGGGTGATGCTTTCTGCAGCCATCAAAGACTGGCAGGAATTCTCTGCTTTGTAGTCTTAGTTCCACTTGTTTGTGTGCTTTTGTGTGTTTTTTCTGGTTTTGTGCTTTCTTTGGTTCTGTTGTTGTGTTTTGCAGTTTGATTGGAGGAGTGCTCTTAGCTAGTCTTTGGCAGTGATTAAGATATCTTCTTGTTGTTTTTTATTTCCCTTATTGCTTCCCTTGAATGGGATTCTAGGCCGCTTGTTGCGTGTCCTCTCAATATAGTTTTTCGGCTTTTGGTCGCGTTGTATTCGAACATTGTTTTCCTTTAGTTTATAATGNTTAAGTATTTTAAGTTTTGCCAAACATCCCTGCTCTTTATATATTTATAGATAGACTTATCACATTTGTGAAGAAATGTCTATTGTCCAAAATAATGGGTACTTTCAGTACTTGCGTTACTTTTCCCTTGCATATTGGTTATACTTATATATGGTCAATTTTAAGGGGATTGGATATGATTAAGCCGGTTATGATCCAACTTAGTGAATTAAAGTGAGTTATTTTAAATAAAGTAGATTTGAAATTAAATAATATTTAAAATGTATTAATTACAGCTGATAGGATATAAACGTAAGAGAGATATTTTATAAAGTAATAAATAGTTAAAATTATGTGAGTTGATAAATAGTAATTAAAGTTGATGTGATGTGTAGGAATGACCGATTGATATTATTTAATTAAGTTGGCCATCTTTCCGGTTCCTCACCCCAATTCGCAAAAAACCCCCCTAAATCCCTAGAACCCCAATCCCGATCTATTGGTCTCCCCACCGGCGCGTGGGCCGTTCCCAGCATCGCGGACCGACACATGGTCGTCCCCGGTCAGCTTGTTCCTCGGCGGGTTGGTGGTTGCTTGTGGCCGTCGGCTTGAGGCCTGAGCCTTAGTCTCCCTGTTTCAGCTATTCCTAGTGCTAGGATGCTAGATCTCTCCGGGCGGCGACGGTTCTTGTGGCTGTGACGACGGGGGTATGGTGAGGGAGGGCGTCGGTTCAGGCCTACTGGGGCTAACCGAGACGGTGAAATGTGGGGGAGCTCGGGTTTGCCAACATGGATCGTTGTACCAGTTTTTGGTGTTTCTCGATTCAGTGTGGGCTATGGGCGGTGTTTCTCTCCGGTTTAGTTTATCGCCTCGGTGCTTGTTTGTGTTGTGTCGGTTTGGTTCGCATTTTTCGACTGGTGGGGAAGGCATTAGTTTCCAAGGTTGAGATTTGAATTTTTCTTTTAAGAATTTCTGCCAAAAAGAATGCCTACTTAAATTAGACATAGATCTAACTTTATAATATACTTAGCAATACATCCTCCAGACTCCAACCGTGACAATTGGTACACTACACATGGGTCAAACTTAATAGATGTTAGAAATAGATGCTTGTTATAAATAGATGCTTGTTGTTGATAACATGTTAATATGTTACAAAGAGATTCATCTATTTGGGTAATTGTCCAAGCTTTCAGTCTGCATATATCTTTTGTAGTTTCTGATCCAAAAATGCACCTACTAGGCTAGACATAACATTAGTCTAACTTACTAACCATTCTATAGTCAGATCCACGAGTGAATAACCTATTATTTTAACCCACGTTGAAAAATCACATCTGAACAACAACGACACTTGAATCCAAGAACTTTCTTGTCAATGACAAAACGTAGCAGGCAATTCACGATGAGGTCCAATGATTCCTTTTTCTATAGTTGAGCCAGTTGGGTGGTGTAGAAAAACCATGTCACGCAATATTAGAACACATCACGTTTAATTATTTAAGGTAAGAGGCGACCGCTACCTTATTCTACGTTAAAGATACCCTTCAAGCTTATTCTTTTATATGTCCACATCAATTACACCAAACTTTGAAAACACATAGCTCATATTATTGTTATGAACAACTTTGATTGGAGAAAAACTGGGCCCGCAATTGTCTTAATTAAGCTTATTGGAATCGAGTTCAAGAATTGTTTCAATCTCACAGAAGGTCACAACATTTTTTAACTATTCATCAGTACAATTTCTTCATCATCAGCCTATATAATTGTAATGTTGAAGTTGCTGAGTTTGTCATTATGTCATACATGTAAGAAACCACCTGTTGTCTTGACCTATCATTAGTGGAAAAATGATTGCCAATTATGAAGAAACATTGTATAATAAATATCACCAGCCAACTATATCATCACAGTTTTAGGAGCTCATGATAACAAAAAACTTTCTTCATACAAAATCCCAATCAAGAAAACCACAAACCAACATCATCAGAAAAAAAAT